GGTCAGCGCCGTGGGCTCCAGAGCCTGACCCGCCATGCCACAGGCTGGCCCGTTTGGTGGACCTCTGTAACACATCTGGATAATGCGAGATGCTCCCGATGGGGCTTCCCAGAGAGATCCAAGCGTAGAGGACTTGTGTCCTTCCCTCTGCTCTTCCGGGCCTGGCATCTGTCCGGCTCCGGCCACAGACCCGAGTCTGGATAGAGACCAGGGTGCAGACCGGACAGCCTGGCCTTGGCTTGCCCTCCCGCTCCTCCCTGAGCCCTGCCCGGCCCAGCCCAGCGGCCCACCAGCCAGCAGTGCTACACCACGCACTTGCCCTCCAGTCCCACCCCCGAGGCACTCTGTCCTCAGCGTGGCCAGTGAGGCACCTGGGTGGGCTCTGTGCCCCCACCCACGTCCGCCTCATCCCTCTCACTCCTTGGTGAGGCAGCCTCTGCCCAGGAGGTGCCCCTCCCCGCCTTGGTAGAACTGCCAGAGCAGCTTCTGCAGCGCGGAGTGTTAGCGCTGTGGCAGCTGGAAGGAGGGGAGGGTTGCAGGCCACAGGCACACACTCCCTGGGTTGCAAGAGCGAGGCCGCCTAGTGCCTCACTCCCAGCCAGCCCTGGTGAGAGTGCAGCCCCTTCCATGCCTTGGAGCTGTGAGGAGCGACCCGCAAGGCCTTTGGCTTACATTTCTGGGAACATCTGTTGATTCTCTCGAGTTGAGAGAATGGGGGTCCCCAGCCATGGGCTGAGCTGAGACTGAGAGTCCCCAGTTGTGGACTGAGCTCTGCTGGGTCACTGGTTCCCTGCATGAGCCCGGTCACCAACCACCAAGTGTTAACAGCACACTCACTCGGAGGCTGTCTCGGAGGCCACAGATTGTAACTGGCTCAGCCTCCCACCTTTGTCCCCTCTTCCCGCCTTCCCCACTCCACTGCCTTCCCACCTTCCACAGCCCCAATTGGAAAAGCTCCCTGGGCGCTGAAGACACTGTGAAGATGCTCTGTCCCAGGGAGAAGCCTGCTGTGGGCACCGGGTCGTCAGACTGGCCTGTGGCTGGGGCGTGGCAGAGCAGACCCGGGCCCGGGCTGGTGCACTAGCAAGATCTGGGCCACTGTCCTCTGAAGGTCCTCTGTCTGGAGAGGATGGGAGGCTGCCCTCCCACCCACAGGCTGTGGCTTCTCCCACCCTCGGGGTTGAAGCAGCCCTCAGCAGGGCAGCTGCCGCCCGATCTCCGTGTCTGCCCATGTTCGGTTCCATGCAGTGCTTCCACTGCCAGAGGTGGCAGTGCCCACCTCATGGGTGATTCGGCCCCGGTGCAGGAATGAGTCCGTGGGAGCTGGAGGAGCTGGCCTGGCCGGGCTGCCTGGTCGAGGCATAGCCTGTCCTGGTCCTGGCCTACTCGTCAGCCCTATGTCGTCTGGGTAGACGTCCGTAGGCAGGAGAGGAGGGCGGGCTCCCAGCCTGAGTGTGGGGTCTTACCTGGCTCGGCCCTGGCCTCTTCCCAGGTGGCTGGAGATGCTCACGGTCTACCCCAGGACCAACAAGCAGAACCAGAAGAAGAAACGGAAAGTGGAGCCTCCCACGCCGCAGGTACGCACGGGTTTGCCCGGGTCCCTTTTCTCTCAGGTCAGGCTGGGGATTAGTGAGAACACCTGGGAGGTCAAGGGTGGGAGGGCCCGGTAGGCACAGGTGGCCACCCCGTCTCCTTCCTGGCTTCCTGGTCAGCAGTCTGCAGGGTCCTTGCAGAGCCACTGTGTACCTGCAGCGCCCAGCGGGAGCCAGGCAGCAGCCGACGACAGGCTGAGGGACAGGAAGGAGTCCTGGAGCACCCTGCCCAGTCCTCCCCACAGCCCACACCCCCGCCCCAGCCAGTGTGCAGGACTCGGCCTGGCAGGGCTCTGGCCCTGGCCCTGCTCTTCTCACTGCCAGCCCGGGGCCCTGGCTGACTGCTTTGCCGAGTGAGCCAATCGGCATTGAACTGTGAGGCCTGTGCTGAGCACGGAGGGGTGCTCAGGAAACTCTTCCTGTCCCCGCTGTCCCGTTACTGTCATCAAGTGCTTCCACCCGGGCCCAGGGGGGTCCCGCAGCCACCTTAAGGGGCAGGGTGGAGCCGGAGTCCCTCGGGCATCTCAAAGCCAGCAGCTGTGGCAGAACCAGCTGCCCCTGGGGCTTGGCAGGCCCTGGCTGGGCTGCAGCGGTCAGATGAGCAGGATGGAAGCATGGGCTGGCCTAGGTCCCCCTGCTCCCCCTCCTTCCAAAGGCCGCCCTAGATGGGCCTATCCTGGCTGGCGTGCAGGCTCTCTGTCCCGTTCCTTCTCTGAGGAGTCCGGGTCCCCAAGCCAGCGTCCCCTGGAAGGGAAACACCCACAAGAAATCCTTTAAAAGCACAGTGGAGGTGGCTCCCGGAGACAGATGGAGCTCCTGCTGGCAGCAGCGGCCACAGCTGCAGCCCCAGATCTCCCAGAGCTGCCTGGTTGGAGAGTCCGCAAGCGGGGGACAGTGTTTAGGGTTACTCTGCGTTTCCATGGTGATGCCTGCAAACAGTGCAGGAGCTGAGCACGGCCTCCCCACGGTCGCTCCATGCATGGGCACACTCAGCCCGGTCCAGGAGATCTGGTCACGGCCCCTTGCCAGTGTCCCCCAGATACCGCCACCTGTGGCCAAACTTCACTGTTGTATTGTCAGGAGCCACGTGGTCCTGGGTGACGAGGTAGGACACTTCCTGGGGGTCTCGGAGTCCTGGCTATAGGGTCTTGGGCTCCTCCAGAAGCCAGCATGGTGGGCTCGTTTTTCTACCCTTTGCACTGCTCTGTTTGAGGCCCTGGTTCTGGAAGCTATGGACTGTCGTTGGGGCCCTTCCCTTGAGAGTCCGTCCTGTGAGCTCCTGTCCTCTGCAGAGGCCATGCATGGCCACAACGCGGTCTCTGCACTTAGTTGCCCAGCGTGGAGCTGCAGGGTAGGCCAGAAGCCTGAGACCTCTGTAGAGGAAGAATCCAGCCTTGTACCTGGCCCAGCACAAGCCCCGGAGTTTCAGATGGAACCACTGGAGGGCTTGAAGCATGGTTCTTTTATTCTGGAGAGGTTTTTGCTATAGGGCGCATGCGCTCGCCAGAGAGACAGAAAGCGAGAAATCGCCCCCCAGGGGGGATGCCACGCCGCAATCCCTTCTCCTCCAGTCTCCTCTCGGGATCTTGGGCACACACCCATATGCGCCTGGCGTGAGTTTTAAGCCCCCAGGTCTGGGACATGAACTGCAGTCGACTACATGGGAGTCCAGCGACAGAGCCATTACGCTAACTGCTGGTCCCAAAGCATGGTTCTCTCAAGGCCCAGTCAGGCCCGTCTGCCCTCCCGGACTCAGTCAGGAGGGAGAGCTTCTAGAAACTGGGACCTGGGGTCAGGCCACAGGGACAGCAGACCCCTTTCTGTCTGAGGACAGGGGTCCCAGCAGGTCCCAGAGCTCGGGGAGGAGACAGGCTTGGCTGCAGCAGTGCCTCCACAGCCCATGGCCTGAGCCAGCTGGGCTCCAGGGACCTTCCACTCCTCTGCCCTGCCAAAGCAGTCCTCCCGAGGAAGGAGCCCGGAGCAGGTGTGGCTGGAGCAGGAAGGACGTGGTGGCCTTGGACCAGGGCAGCCAGCTGCACAGACCCTGGGGGGGATCTCCACCAGTCACGGGGAGCTCGGGAGACTCCCCTACTTCCCAGCCATCCAAGCTCCTGGTCCTTCCTCTCCCCTTTTTCAGGGACCTGTCCGACATCCTGCATCCTCTGCGGGCCCAGGGACACCCTTTCTCCCTTAGGGATCTCCTTGTCTGCTGGATGTCTGCCACTCCCCCGTTCCAGACCGGAGCCCTCCCTTCTTGTTGGGTCCTCTGCCCCCTTTTCAGGCCAGCCAAGTGGAGAAAAACCCCTATGCAAACCCGCCCCTTTTTCCTCCAACCACCAGCAGCCGCGTCACTCCGGTGTCGGTAGCCATGAGCAGCACAGCTGTCCTGGCTGTGGTGAAGCAGCTCTCAGGGGACCCGGGGTCTGCCCTCCTCCCTGGCCTGTGCAGCAGGGGCCCCAGCAGCCCTGCCTCTGTGTGGGAGTGGACTGGTGCCTGCAGCCCAGCCCGGCCCCTTGTCCCGGGGCGCGCACAGACCCCTCCCTAGAAGACTTTGTCCTGCTGCGCTGACGAGGTTTGATGTGGAGGCTGGAGAATGCCGTCCTGGGCAGGGAGGGACCTGCGGTGCTGGGCTGAGGCTCGGGCCCTTGTTGCCTGGGTGGGGTCTTTCCCGAGTGGGGCCCCAGCTCAGCCTCAGGTCGCAGCTGCAGGCCAGGGGAGGTGGCAGGCAGGAGCAGCAGGGGTAGGATTGCCCAAGCCCCTCTCAATGTCCTTTGGGTCTCACACCTGGAATTTCCTTCTCTCGGGACCCCTCCTCAGTGCCAGGGTCACCCCAAACTCCAGAAAGGGGTGTGCTCACCATGGGTACTCCCGTCATGGTGTACCCTCCCGGCACAGCCCCCAGTCCCTCCGTGGTCCTCCTGGTGACCTCTGCAAAACCTCGGTCCAGCTTCGCCCCGCAAAGGGGACCGCATACCAGGAATAATCCAGCTCCATGCTGGGCCACCAGACCTGTGCCCGCCTCCAGCCCCTGACTCCGAGTGGAAGGCCCCAGGGTGTGGGGAGAGGGCATGGCAGAGGAACCCGTGGTGACATCTGCCTTGGGGAGGTGTTGCTGCTGGGCTGGGACTGAAGGCGGCTCTACACCCAGATGGCCGTGCAGGTGAGCAGGCCAGGACGGCCAGTGGCTAGAGGGGACAGTGGCCTCAGGGCCACATCTCCATAAGGCATTGGAGACTTCAGGAAGCTGACCTCTTCCAGGGCATCCCGGCCAGGAGTGAGTCTGCTGGCAGCTGAGCCATAGGCAGTCAGGCGTAGGTCGCAGGTCTGTGGGAAAAGCCTTCCTGGCTCCGTCCACCTGCCCCCTCCCGCTCCTGGGAGCTCGTGGCTGTGGAAAGGCAGGACCAGCAGCCTTTGCTGGCTGTGTGGTGAGGCTGTGCCATCCACTCAGGCCTGGTCGCCTCCCCAGCCAGGAGGGCTGGTAAACGAGGCCAGGCGGACCACCCAGTGGGCTGTTCGCAGCAAGCTCACCCAGTGGACTGTTCACAGTAAGCTGTGGCTACACCAGCTGTGCGAGTATGCGTGCCCCACGGATAACCTGGCGGAGAGAAGGTGGGCTTCTGAAATTGAGACTGAGCCCCCAGGATGAAGCAGGATGTGGACATTTGTTTCTTCCCTGGCTCGGGCCAGAGAGCTGAGCGTGCCTTGCTTTGGAGAGGGGCCAAAGCCCTCTTGTTGGCAGCCTCCTCAGTGGGGAGAGGGGGCCCAGGGACCCAGCCCAGCCCTGCCCTCTCTGGCCTCCGTATCTGTGGCGCTAAGCTCAAGGTCTCCATGTGCACAGGAACTGGGCTGGCCGTGTCCCATGGACATTACTCCCACGGCAGCACCACGTCCACTCCCGCCGAGCTCCTGGCTGGGATCTAGGCTGTGTGTGTGCCTGTGTGTGGTCGGGGGAGCTGGTTGCTTGTGACTTGCCGCCTTACCTGTCGGGGCTGCGTAACCAGATTCCACAGAGGAGGTACAAGACCAAGGTGCGGCTGTCTCAGCATCCAGTGGCCTACTTCTGGTCCTTGCATGGTGGCAGAGCCGAGGGTCTCTGGTGGGGGGAGGGAGCTATTTCACCTTATTTATTTTTAGGGTTTTGCCGTAGAGTGTGTGCACTTGCCAGAGAGAGAATGAGACACTGCAGTGCCGCCGTCCTCCTCCTTGGATTTGGGCACTCACACACACACGCCTGGTGTGATGTTCAAGCTGCCACATCCAGGACTTGAACTGCGCTCAGCCATGTGGGAGCCATGTGGTGTTCAGTGGCTTAACACCACGCCACCTACTGGCCCTATATTGTCTTGGTTTTGTTCTTAATTTGCTGCAGGGTCTGTATTTGCTGGAGAGAGACAGAGAGAGGGAGAGAGAAGTGAGGAAGCACTCCCAGGAGGGATGGCTATGCCACAGTCCCGTTTCCTCTGTTCTCTTGGGGTCTTGGGCATGCACGCACATGTGCCCAGCATATTTCCAAGTTGCCAGATCCAGGATACAAACCATGCAGTTGACCATTTGGGATCTGGCTGTCTTAGCCACCATGCTGTTATCTGGCCCTGGGGCCTCTTTGTAAGGACACTAACCTCATTCCTGAGGGCTCCACCCTAAGGACCTAATCACCTCTAAAGGTCCTGCCCCCTAGCGCTACCTCCTGGTGGGTGAGGACCCAAGGTGGTAGACGCGGGGACGGGGGTGGGCGCGAACATTCACCCTGGACCCTTCCCTTCGCACGGTGCCTGGGTGTCCCATTGAGCTTTGCAGTCCCACAGAGCAGAGGGCAGCCGAGGCAGGGTGGCCTGTACTTCCCAAGGGAGCTGCAGGTGGTGGCCGCTGTTTCAAGGAGCAGTCCCTCTCCTCGCTCTGCCTCCTCCCCCCTTACCCACATTCTCCACGGCTGCAGTGCCGGAAGTCCAGGAGTGACAGCTCTGAGCCAGTGCCTGTGTTTCCACCGTCCACACCTGGCCTGCTGTTGTGGGGCTCTGGGTGGGGAGAATTTGCACGTGATCAGTGACCAGGCTGCAGAGGTCAGAAGGCCGCAGTGCCATCCAGGAGGAGCATCCCCTTAGTTCCAAGTGCTCCCTCCTGAGGGTTCCAGTCGTCAACTCTGGAGCCAACCAGGGCATCCCTACAGCCGGGTGTGTGTGCCTGCGCCC